TCTCATGCAAAATTTAGGGGAAAGTAGCCTCCAAGATTTAAAAAAAATCTTCCGCCAGTTAATTTCTGCTTCGCAATTATGAATAATAATTTCTTGCGATCCGCGTGAAGATAATATTCTTAAAACTAATTCAAAGTGTACAGGTGATTTGGGGAGAAATTACCCATGATTGGCGGTCAAAGTCGATTACACCGCGATTATAACAGTTTATTCTTCTTAACCAGAAAGTTTAATACGTAATCACCTCGTCAGTATAGCCGTCCGTCATATGTAGCAGTTTCTGCTTTCCTCAACAGAGGAAAACAATTAAATCAATTTGCTATTTGGGGCAAACATTACCAAGAATTATTTTTGGCCATCCCAGGTGTCTTATTAGTCGCAAATGTTCATTTTCTTCAAACCTGACACCTGCCAGTCTCACTTTACGTTTTGCCGCAAAATTAATGCGTTTTCAGGTCCCGCCCTATTAACACTCTGGAATAACCAGAATAAAAAAAGGTCGAGGTAATAGGTACAGGTTGAACCGAGATCTCGTAAGTGTTTCCAATACATACATACATACATACATACATACATACATACATACATACATGCATGCATGCATGCATGCATACATACATACATACATACATGCATGCATGCATGCATACATACATACATGCATGCATGCATACATACATACATACATGCATGCATACATACATACATACATACATGCATACATACATACATACATGCATGCATACATACATACCTACATACATACATGCATGCATACATACATACCATGACGAGCTTTGCTCAAGAAAAAAATTCTCAGCAGGCATCGTAAACTGATGCCGAGGTTTGGGGAAGAAGGCGTTGGGTGGCTGTCATCACATTAATTACACCACAATGTAATTATNGTCCCGGAATAATGACCGGCCCCCCATACCCAGGAAGGTTTAACGTTTAGGAGACCTACTGCTCTACTTAATTATCACGGGCCTGTGTAACATTTGGGAAAAGATTAACACCTTTAAACAATGACGCAAGAAGAGACTGAAATGACGTTTAGACATTCGCTTCTAAGGTCGCTGTTAGTTATTTATTTATTTTTAACTGCTTAATCTTGGTCAATTAAAATTAGAGGAATCGATTCTTGTTGCCTTGCATGTTTCGCAATTGGGTTACTGGTTTTGTCAGACGTCATAACATTCCCTCAATACGTCACATTTTGGCATATGGTGAACTTTGTTTTTACCTAAAGGAGAATTAACAGCATTTTTGTATTGGGATGACTGATATTTTTATCAGTCGGATTTCGGGAAATTTTACGCGGCAATAAGTTTGGTTCTCAATTAAAACCAGGCAAGATAAACTATTGGTAAATGAAAAATTTAGGATTGCGAAACTTTCGGTCCGATGAGCCCACGAAATCCTGCAGGTTTATATATATATTTTTGTAATATTTTCTTACGAACTTACCACGTGAGCTAGCATTTGGTATGGTTTTCGTTTTAGCCTAACACTAACTATATATATATTTCGTATTCTTTTCGCATTCTAATTTGAAATTTTCTGAGGGAACAAATTAAGAGTTGATGCCGAATTAGAATTTATATTACAAGAAAGACCCTTTTTTTCTAGCTAGTACCTATTGCATTTTATTAAAACATCTTTATGCAAGCGTCAAAGAGTACAAAAAATGCCCGAAGTTTAAACCGCGGCCACTAAAAGGCATTGTTTAGCATTTTGACATCAAGATTAAGATGTGAACTTGAAATCAGAAAGGAAATGCTAGATAATAAAGCGGAAATGATGAAGATATTCGGATAATGTCAACAGTTCGTGGCTAAAGGCTGGATACTTTTGCCGTGAGTGAAACAAATTATTTGTTTAATCATAGTAATGGATCTTATATCATGTTATTTTGATTTCATTTGTTTTTGAAAACATTTTATATTTCTCGAAGATTTTAGCTAATTTTGTATAGCTACTCTCAGATCCGAGAGGAGGTAAAGGTTTTATATGTATGTGTGAAAATCTATTTGTGAGGAAACAAAGAAAAACCATGTGGGCAATAGAAAGAGTCCTCCCATATCCGATTATTTTTGTCAGAGAATGATTTAATTCATCCAATCCCATGGCTCTTTCTGAGGAAAAAAACAACGCCAGACCAGTAGCAGACGCAGGTCGATTGAAGGAAATTTTATGAATGAATGAATGAATGAATGAATTCCTTATTTATATTGCGCCCTTTCTATACAATATTCAATGGCGCAGCCTTTATGATGCAATCCTGTTGCTTTTTCTGGGATTTTTTTTACTTAAGGGGGTAAGTTTATTAATTTACATTAATTCACTTCACAATAGCGCATGGCGCGTAGTGTAGGAAACAAAAAATAAAGGTACAAACATTGCTATCCAAAATGAAGACAAATTCAGGATCAATGAGTCTTTAAACGACAAAACAGTCAATCCTGTATTTAGCGCTCACTCATAGGGAATGTTGGAGTGAGTGCTGAATACAAGTTGACTTGCGGTACAAGGTTCCACAGGTAGGGGAATAGTCCATTTTACAGTTGCATGCTTGGTTGCCAAGCCTTTCAATGGGAGTGAGGCTAAGGGTAACCTGTAAATTATTTTGTTATCATGCTAACTAGATACTGGTCTCTATCAAGCCTCACTTCAAATCAAAGGCTTGGCAACTAAGTATACAACTGTAAAATGGTCTATTGTCAACACTGATACAAAACGCCATATTATGCCATAATTGATGTACAAAATTCGTCAAAAAAACTCTACTAACATTTATTTTATGGCTTAAATTTTAATTGAACATTATTCTTAGTTGTATTCAGGAGAGGTCTCGTTTTGAATTATGATTGCTGAATACAGGTGAAGGACAATACAAAAAGGCCGTCGGGTCTCAGTTAGGGGTGACTATACGACTGTTCATCACTGGAGGTAACCGCTAAATAGAGGTGAAAATTCCAGTGATTTAGGAACTGCTTAATACAATGTGATCACTTAATACGGTGTCGTTCAACAATAACTAGGGACTTTAAGCAGTCAGGACGGCAACGCTACGGAAGACGTCGATTAAAAAACGAGTTTCTACTTTTAGTTAGAATTTCGAAAATGGCTGCATGTGTTTACCGTCTCATAGGGCGCCAGACCTCAAACTCAACATAACGCACAAAAGTAGCGTTGAGTTCCAAATGTAAATTAAAATAACTTGCCGCCGCGGTTTCGCTTCACAGACGACGCAAATTTTGGTGATTTCACGTTGTTGTTTTGCAAAGGACGGCTAAGAAATGTACAAAGTTTTAAAACGCACGTGCTGGGCTATTGTTCTGCCAATTAG